AAAAAAAAACACAAAAAAATGTTGTTTTATGCAAAAAAAGACTAAAGTAATTGCACCTACTTCGCTTAACCGAGTTAACTCGGCCAACAAAAAAAAAAACTTGAAAAGGAACAAAAAAATATTAAAAAATAAGCTTTTAGTCTAAATTTACGGCGTGGTAAATTTTAAAACACGGAATGACACAAAGAATGTCACATTCCGCACACATATATCTTGTTTTTTTGCAAACCTTTTTATTGTTTTCATGCTGCGTTCTTGAGCAGAGGAAACACTGTGGGATTTTCTTTCTTTGCCGTGGTGGTACAAATGATGGAAAATGTCTTGCTGATAATCTCAGTGGTGTTGGGACGTTTGATGGCCATCCACTTCTTGAAATGTTGGTAGTTTTATATTTTTCAATGGGGAGTTCAGTTACTTTAAGACGAAAATCAAGTGAATTTATTTCACCGCCAGATTTTTCATAAAGCACGAAAGCGTTCCATAGTGCCAGATCTAAAAGATGAAAGAAAATCTTTTTATAATATTTTTTGCCTCTTTTTCTAGGAACAATTTTTTTTATTGTTCCTTTGCGGGTCTCTACATTCACCATTGATGGACTGTGAATGGTAAAAATTAGAGAGATATCTTTCCTAGCGTTAAGAGGTTAAATTTATTGCTAAAATAATCTATAATTTCTTGCACTTTTATTAGCCTGTTTTCGTTTCAAATGGATAGCTATGTTATCGGGGAAAATGGAGGAGAGTACAAATTTGTAAGCACTAAAAGTGGGTGTGTCGACCAACAATTATATATCTTATTTTTCCCTACTAAGCCCATAAGTAGTATTAGACCAAATATTTTTTTCATTTCCAAAATGACATTGACCCATTTACATCCACGTTCATATTTTTTATACTTATGACTATTTGCATTATGATGATGGGAAAGGATCTACGAGATTCCTAGAAGCAATGACACTACCTGCGGACTATAAAGGACAGTCCGGAAGTGCAAGGCAGGGCCAATCGGATTATATCCACAATACAGAGCGAATCAAGCGAGCTATGGTCGAGCTGCGTAAATGTGTAAAATATAAAGCGTAGAAAATACGAGCTTCTTCATAAATCGGATACTTTGCGTGTGTTGGAATTTCTGTGCAGAGGATTGAGATTAAGCCCTGACTTTCGATGTTGTTCCATATCTTAGCTTCTGGAAGTCATATAAGACCTTCTTTTAGAACTACTGTGGTTCTTTGCTCCGTACTGACAGTGTAGGTATGGTAGTCTATATTTTCTTTTTGACATATGGTTTTTTTAACCCTTTTTGCGGTATTATTATAATACTAAGTTTATACATAGGTATCATGCTGGTCGGAATTAATTTTCGTTGGACAAACAGTAATACATAATATGCAAGATTATGAAGGAGAAAAATTTATTAATTCTTTCTTAAACTTTAAATATATGTAACACAATAACTTTTGTATTAGGAACCGGTATAGTACTCATGTTAAGGATTACGCTAAAAAAAAAGCTGTTAACTCTTCTTTCGTCACATCGATCCAGTTATTGCAAGTTGATCGGTCAGATAAGCTCTGCTGCTCTATTTTATTTTTGGCATATTTATTTGTTTCAAGCAGTGTATCTGTGAAAAAGAGTCTGGAAAAATCGATTAGGTTCAACAATCTTAGACTCCGTCGAAAAATTTTTGATTTAGGCTGGTCTCTGTGCGTAACATCTCTTCAAATAGTAAAATCATTTATACCACTATTCTCATTTTCATCATTTAAAATTGGTGAAATCATTTAAATTTGTACACATAATTTCCAGTTGAACGGAAGTAAATAGTCACTACAACTGAATTATATCATTGAAAGTTTCGCTTGAGTAACTCGCAGATTATATTAAATTGAGATATCAAATTCTCGTATCAACTCTTTTGCTTTTGAAACATCTAGTTTTAGACTTCCTTGTTTATTTTCTCAAGTTTCATACGAGGCATACTCGCATGCCGATCTTTCTTAAATTCTCTTTATCGCTCTTTTCAAGTGGAGCAGGGAACCGCATTGACTGCATTTCACACGTTCTCTTTCGACTAATATTTTTGTTATATATCTCGGTATATATACCACATTTTGATTTGTTTTCTCATGTCATAGGAAGCTTAAAAAAAAACATGCATTTTTCAAAAAGTTGCGCTGGTATAAGTTTATACTCTGTAATCACTAATAAACTCTAATGTTCCGTAGAGAAGGAATGCAAAAGTTATATTTTGTTGGAAATCCTTTTTGTCAAATAACGTCTCTTAAACGCGGGCACGTTAGAAATTATTTTAAATAAATAATTTTGGCGTATATTTCTCCACTCTTCTATTAAGCGTTTTCAATTCCTTTTATTAGTTTTATTAGTGCGGTCCATAGATTGTTAATGGGATTTAGATTCTTCAGCATTCTAGTGCAATTGGATAATTGTATAATGAATATTCTTGAACAATCCGAGATTTATGTTTCGGATCGTTATCTTAATAAAACTTATAAGTATCATTTATACTCATTTTGCATACAGCATTTGTAGTTAAATTCTCTTTCAAAGTGTTTAAATATTTGTTATTGTCTAAAATTCTATCAATAAAAATTAATTCTCCTATCCCAGCAGTAGAGATACAGTTCTCATACCATCAACGTTCCATCTTCATGTTTCACAGCTAAATATTGTTTCTTTCAAATTGTTTATTTGCTTTTCGCCACACTGCTTTTTGTCTAGTCCAGAAATCTTCCATTTGTCAGAACAAAATCACATCATTCCACATATTTTTTTCTTTAAAAACAAATTCCTTCGCAAATGTTAATCGTTTTTATCGATTAATTTCATTTATGAAATGCTTCTTCCGAGCTATCTCCCATCTTCATTTAGCACGACGACGAACTGTATTATCATATTCCCTGTTTCTTCGAACAGTTTTGAAGTTAGTGTTGGAGTACTTATCTCGGGATTATTTTTGATTTTTCGTATAATTTTACATTACAATTTTCCTTACTATATCTTCGTATTATATTTGCAAACGGTACTTTTACTTAGATTAGGGGTACCGGAAAGTTTTTTTGTTTTTCTTGGTATTAAAATGAAAAAAAAAAAAAAATATTAAGAAGAAAAATTTGTACTTTATTGAGTAATATAGTTTCCATCATGATCTATAACACTCGGTCATCTGTCAGAATGAAGAATTGCTAGTTTTTTAAAGAAAAAAATTGTTCAAGGATCATTTTAACATAATTCACATCTCTAAGGGTCTTGTTTCTGAAATGTTTCTTAATGTTCCAGTGACTGAAATAAGTCAATCAGAGAGTGTAATGTCTGGTGAGTAGAGAGAGTGTGGTAGAACTTTCCAATCAAGCTTGAAAATTTTTTCATGTGCCTTTCTAGCTGCATGAGGTCATGCGTTGTGTTGAAGAATAATTCTTCCTCTATTCAGATGAGTTTTTATCTTTATATTTGCCATATTTTCAAAATATTTTAAATCCCCTCTCCTCAATTGTGCTTCTAGGAGAGAAAGTTTCTCCCTCACGAATGTATTCACGGCGCTAACCATGTCAGTCAATGTTTTGTTCTTTCCTTGAAGTCGCAAATTTAATTGATTTAGTTTTTCTGTAATGTCAGAAAGAAAAGCAAGATCAAGAACCACTTATCATCTTCCAATTGAAGATACGATTTGTTAACTGTTGTCATAAACTCCTTTATTTCAGGCGAAAGATCCAAGAATCTTTTTAAAAGCTTAGCCATCTTATATCAGTGTGCAATAGTAATTCCCCAAGATCAGATTCACATTCTTCTGATAATGCTCTGAATTTTCATCTTTGCAAACTGCTTCCACGAATAGAATCAACTATTTTGAATGCTACATTTATCACATCGTCTGATTTTAATATCTTTGAGCACAAAACCAGCTGGTGGATAATGCAATGATAGTTGGTAAAACTTGGAATATCATAATTTTTACAAAGAGTTGTATTATAATGTACTCTTTCTGGAATATCTAATTCTGCTGTAATATCACGCCATTTCATCTAAGTCTTCTAACGAATCTTCGCTAATTCACTTTCAATAATTCTCATTCTTCGCCTCTTTGATAGTATAATTTCGCTATCACTACTTGAAGTATCAGAATCATAACCAACAATGTTTTCTATAATAGCTTGTGGAAAAAGGTTCTCGAGGGGGCCGTTTCGTTTCCCGATGCAGTATTTCTTTTGGCCAGCTTCGTCACTCTGGCATGAGCGTTTCCGGTTGTGTCTCAAAGGTAACGCTTGTACGTTCCCTGGAGATTCTCGTCCAGAAGCGGTACTTTCTCGATTGTCTCGATCTGTTATACAGATCTATCTATACAACAATTAACAAAAGTAAAATTTGTTAAGAACGCAATGAAAACAGTTCAGAAGGTGCTCGCTCAGACTGCGTCATGTGCGGAATATTCCGCTTACGGACACAAATGGATTATATACCCCTTCCTTTGTGTCCTTTCCGATCCCCTGAGAATCACGATGTACCGTTGGGCCGGTCAGTCCCATAAAGTAATATTTGCAATTACTTTGGGACTAACGATATTGCCAAAAAACGCTCACATTATTTTTATGTGTTTATTGGCCTTGGTCGTAGACCCACGGCCAGTGGAACGCGTTCTTCTTCGCTTGTCAAAATTGTAAAAGGACCTTTTCTCCGAAATTTTATTTCGTGTTTTTTTAAGTCATGTGGAAATCCTCTATTTAATCTTATTGTTCCACAAATTCTCGTATTCTTCTATAGGAGTAATTCGACTGTATTTACACTATTGTAACAATATGATGACACAATCTCACAAGTGAAAATAGAATTGATAAAATTATATCTTGTAATTTGTTCCTCACGTCTGAATATGCTTCAAAATTGCAAATATAGCTTGATGTTGGTTCGCAAAGCATCCGCACAAAAATTATTTTGTGAGTCTTGCTGGATTATATGTGCGGAAAGATAATCTCTCTCACCAAGGTATCATGCCTTCATCCAGTGATAGCTCTTTGGCTTATGTGTATAGTTTGGAATTTGTTTTGTATATAATTTAAAATATTTCTGATCTTGAATAATTTTCTCGACTTATCGTGAATTGAATCATTATTACAGAAATGCTATCACACTTGCTATATTTGTATAAATCGGTTACGACTCGTTGTTTTCGAAAAAAATAGAATTTTTATATATGAAACAGTTGACCATATATAATCATATACATTGTCTTTACGTATCTGTCTCATCATAATGATTAAACCTAGAAACTTTTTCG